CGAGTGTATTTTTCAAGAAAATACGAAAGTGAATTTTTCAGGACTTTCCAAATGAAGAAAAAGAATAATTAATTCCGAGAAAAATAAGCTCTAACGACATTTATTCGGATTTACGTTCGGGGTGAAATTTTATAATTTTGAAAAGGGGTGATTAATTCCGAGTAAAAGAGATTAATTCAGTCCTGAATTAATAGAGTTTAGTCGAAATTAATTAAGGAGTTCAGAGAAGAAAAAAGGACATACTTCTGAATAAAAAGAGTCGAAGAAAAAATTGCGAGAAAGAATTTTTCAAATTTCAAAAAAAATTGCAAAAAGGAATTTTCTGAATTAAAATATGTGAGAAAAAGAATTAATTAGAATTATTTTTGAATTTCCAAAAGAAATATCAAAATAGAATTTAATTCTAACGTATTTTTAAAATTTTCGAAAAAAAAATAATTAATTCTAAAATATTTTCGAATTACAAAAATTCCGAATAATAATTAATTAGCATTATTTTCGAAGTTCGAGAAAGAAATACGTAGTTTCAAAATTTTCGAAAAATAATTAATTAGAAATGTTTTCGAAAAATAAATGTCAAAAAAAAAAAAAATTAATTCTAAAATATTTTCGAATTACAAGAATTTTGAAAAAGAATTAATTAAATTATTTTTGAATTTCGAAGAAGAAATGCCGAGAAAGAATGATTAATTCGACGTATTTTCAAAAGAGAAAATATTTGTGAAAAAAGCTATGCCGAGAAAGATAGTTAATTAAATATTTTCGAATTTACAAGAATTTCAAATGAATTTTGAATAAATAAATAAATAAATAATAATATTACGTTGCATAGAGTACACGTACGGGGCCTTTCCGTACGAAACGTACAGGTAATATATGTACGGGATCTGTACGGGAACCTGTACGAAAACCTGTACGTCTCGTACGCCCCCTACAAAAAATCAAAAAAAAAAAAAAAAAGTGATGCAACAGCACAAAACAAGCAACATTGGCTGAGCATCATCTTCAAATTCTTATTAGACTATGAGAACAACAATAAAAACACTACCAGATTTCAA